ATAGGGCAAACTATCCGACAAAGTGTGTTTTTTTTTTTTTTTTTTTTTTGATAAAGACAAAGTGCGTCGTTAGCACTCATTGAATTTAGCAAGACACATCTTCAATTATGGTTATGCAGCACCTAAAATGTGGGAAACCTCAAAGCTATTGAAAAAGAATAAAGGTTAAATCTTTAATTTGGTTCTTAAATTATTGTACGGACTTCTAATTTGATCCTTGAACTAAAAAAATATTTGATTTGGTTCTTAAAATATTATACAGACCTGTGATTTGGTCCTTACTATTTATCAATTTACCTCATATTAGTCATTTCATACAAAAAAAAAGCTAACGTGTCTAATATTTAATGACAAAAAATAGTAACTTAACGATAAAAAATAGTAATTTAATGGTTATATGTCGCGTTAATAACGAAACACGTTAGTCATTTTTGTATAGAATGATCAACTTAGGGTAAATTGGTAAACAGTAGAGACCAAATCAAAGATCTGTATAATAATTCATGGACCAAATTAGGTATTTTTTTAGTACATGGACCAAATCAAGAGTTCATACAATAATTTAAAAACCAAATTGGAGATTTAACCAATAAACAGAGAAAACAGAGACTAATACTCTTCTCAACTCAAATGAAATAGAAACATTACCCTGTCAAATGGGGCTTATTTTTATTTTTTGAATAATTTGACATGAGATAAAATCGAACCCGTCCAAAAAAAAAAGGTGTATTTATTCAATATGACTAATACCATTAAACTCGAAAGGTTAGATGCATGTTTTTTTTTTTTTCTTTGATATGAAAGGTTGAGAATATATTATAAATCAAATAATAAAATATATATTCAAATTATACGTAACTTAAAAATAAAAAAAAAATCTTATAACACTAATTATAAAAAATTTAATTTCCCTTGCACATGAGTTAAAGTATAAAGTACTCCAATTATAATTAAAAATTATATATCAGTCGCTATAAAAAACATTTATAGGGCTGCTGATAAAGTCAAATCAATTTGCAGGGTATCTTTCGCTAATAAATTACCCGTCATCTGTCGGCCCCAGGGGAGACTAGAGTCACAAGCCCCCAACAGTCCCTGTCCACTGATGGCCCTACCATAACAACGTAGCCTGGAATGGGGCATTTCATTTCTAGAACAGCCAAGAATTTACAAAGAAATAGTCAGGTACTGAAAATACAACATATCTCACCTCATCTATCCCATACTTTTTTACATAATACTTATTGCATCAAGCAAGCAAGAATTACAAATTAATATGATCAGAAAGATGTACTTGAATCCACCTTGGGTTGGAAAGCCACTCAAATTGAATTTGGATGAATAAAGGGTGAGGTCTCCATCATGATTTTTAAGTTCTCTGGATATAGCTTCCATCTGGTTGTCCTCATTCTACTTGTTCTTGGGAGTACCAAAATGATATCATATGCAGTCAAGGATCAAGATAAGCTCCACCTAGAACTACAGAACCAACATGAGAGCTACTGCCAAGGCAACATACAGACAAAGCCTTGCATGTTCATTGTATACACCTGTGAAATGAGAATTAGTAGTCGGTGAGGCTAAGTACAAAAATAGGAATTACTTTTTTAAGTGTTTGGCTTGATTGGTGTTTGGTTTGTTTTCAGAGTGTCTTAAGCAATGAGAAAACATCAATTTAACAATTTGGTCATGCTTGGTTGAAAGAATCGCTATTCCTTGGTCAAAGGATTAAATTAAGGTAAATTAGATAGAGAAAATGACATCAGGAATCTCTATTTTCTTGTTTTCACCAATTTTCTTCTAACAAGACAAAAACGAGGTAGCAATAGCTGAAAACACCTCCCCTAAGTCTTAGCTACTCCCTCTCAACTCTCACTTATTAGATGAAATTGTGTAAGGAATAGCCCTTCCTTACTCTCCCTAGTTTACCTTAATTATATACTTTTGAAAATGGAATAGACATCCCATCCAACCAAACTAGCCCCTAAGAGTTTTAACTTTTAATGGTAAGACCAACAACGGAAGCTCTCAGATTCCTTTCCTACCAATGGTCTGGCCTTGAGTTATTAAGGAAAGAAAAGTACAAGGAGAAGTAAAAGAGTGCATTTTTTTACCAATTTGACCAGATGTTGCTGCAGGGAGGGCTGGAATTCTGATAGCTGCATTTTAGAAATCCATGTTAAAATCAAAAAGTATGACAAAAAGAAACAGATTGTAATCTGTAATGGTTTTCTATTGCTGGTTATCTATTCAATGGATAAACTTGTAACAAGTCCAACATACTTCTATTGCATGATGAGGCTGGCAACTGAGACATAGAAGGCCATGGAGCAGGAATATTATCATTAAGATCGCAAATGAAACTGATTCCTGTAAACTTGTCAAGTGTTGCATCTGATGGCAAGCTTGGCAGGAGGCAGCCAGATACTACAAGAAATGAATAGAAAATAAAGAGAGTTGAGCATAACACATTTAAGAGAAGCAGAAAGAATATTTAGCAAAGCTGTTGTCATTACGCATAGTTGACTTGATTCAAGAATAACAGACTTATAGAATAACTAAAGAAATTAAACTAGAAACACTGAAGCTCTCAAATAATTCAATAGACAAAATATTTTAGAAACTCCTAGACAGTGTAAATAAAATTTATGCAGACACATATTAGTGGATGCTAGAGAATAGATCTTACCTTCATTTCCAACTGATGCATACAAGTAGTTGAACCCATAACATATTGAGAACAATGAGAAAAGAATCACGTATTAGTAAAAGTACTAAGTTTGAATTGAAAGCAGTTATGTTTGCTCCCCAAGATATATGAGGCAACATACCAACCTTGGAGAGAGAAATCCTTCAGACTTAAATGACAAAGGTTGTAAACATTTCTGGTGATATTCGATTTCTGTAACTTGATTCCTAGTGATGTAGCACAATCCAGAGCTTGCAAGTTGGTGATTAGTGTCTGCTTTTGCAGGTGGGACACATAGCTATCCATGGCATTGCAGCAAGCTGTCTGGTTACTTATCCCTTTACCACAGTTATTTGTGACGTGCTTCATGTCAGGGAAAATGAGAGGGCAAACTGAAGTCAAAAACACACCAGGAAAAAATATTAAGAAATAACACATCAGAGATGTTGGCTAAGAAATTGTGTCACTGTCTACAGCAAGCAAGCTGTGCTAAATATTACAAGAAAATATGTTAGTACAGGTTGCAAGAACATAATCAAGTTTGTATCTTTCAATAGATAACTGAGATCCACAAATGGATAATATGCCACTTGTGTCTAAAAAAAAAATATTTTCCTCACAGAAATGGACAGATAGAACTAATATAAAAGCATATGCACAATTTGGCATTTGGTGTCCTCACTAATTCTCTTGTTCATCCATAATCCATTCTTTTTTATGCGAAGACCTAAGAAGAGATGGTAGAGGGTCACAGGAGAGGACGAAGCATACTACAACATCCCTAATTCTGCATATGCTAGTTCATATAACACTTTCATGGCAAAAACAGTTCACAGCACACTTTAGAATCAGGGTTAAATCTTGCCTCTATACTTTAGTCCTAACTCACCTTTGTTAACATTGCAGTTGGTCAGTCCTCTAAGAACTTCCTTTGCACGAGATGGAGCTAGTTTACTCGCCAGCCACCGAAGGACAATTATTTTACAGTCATTAATCCTGGTTGAGTGCTCAGGTAAAACATGGGGCCCATCCATGCTCAAAAGAGAAGAAGTTTTCTGAGCAATAGTTGTTGCAGCCTCCGATATAGCATTTTGACAAATTTGGTCACAACATTCCTTAACAGGATCAATCTTTTCACATGCAGAAAGAAGCTTAGAAGAATCCACAGTGCTCTCAAACTCATCAACATCTTTCACAGGGCAAGATGCTTCAGTGAGGTTTGCCGGATGAATTGAGCAAATCTGCTTAAGGCTATCACTTGCACCCTGACCTGCCAAGACTTGCTCAATGTCTGACAGGCAAGGCTTAGCAAGGGTAGCATTTAGAGCAAGCATGCCACTTTCTTTGCTGGATTGACCAACAAGAATCACAAGAGTAGCCAACAGCTGTGGACAACATATTACATTTGCCAACAATGGGGCAAAAGCAGCAAAGCAATCTATTGAAGTCATTCTCATCAAATTTTCAGCAGTGGTGAAGTTCAACATGCAGATTCCTGTTAAAAATGTGGAAGTAAAGAGAAGAGCAACAACAAGAGAAAAATGTAATTGGACATTAAAATCCAAGTAGCTTTTTTGATAACTTAACATAACCAGAATAAGAAAAGTGAACCTGATAATTTAGGGACAGTGGTGTTTGTGAAGGGTGCCAATGGAGATGGTGCAAGAATAGGAAGAAAGGGCTGTGGAGTTGCACTTGGGGAAATCTCAGGTAAGAGAGCATCTCCATCTCTACCAGTTAACCTATATCCTGTGAGCTGATTTAGTGGGATGGATAAACATTCATGGAAACCTGAAACAAAACCACCAAAACCACCGATTGCTAAGATAGACATATTCTACTCATAAGTACAATACTTATCACTTAAAATTTTTGCGTTAATGGTTTACACAAAAGTAGCTTCCATACTTAAATCATTTGAAAGCAAGAGACAATCCATCCTGAATATATACAACGTGTCAAGCAAAATATGTTAAATAGCACAAAAACAGCTGTACTTGACTGATCTTTTTCTCTCTCTTCTCCTCCTCATGTTGCAACTAGAGTACCACAGTAGGAATTCTTCCAGATAGATTCAATAAGGGATTTCTCACCACCTTTCTCTATCAATTGCTCAGGCTCAACCAAGACCACTCCTCTCAACACTACTTTCACTAAAACTAGTTCAGCCTGATTTGGAAGGAGAGTTGTCACTGTTGAATAAAAAAGGGAAAACTGCAGACAGGCTATAAAACTATAAAAGTAACCGAAAGCACTTAAAATGGCAATAATGTGCCACCAAAGTGGAAACTAAAGCTGCAAATCAAATTTTCACTAAACTATCAATTGCTACCAACTAAATGCCTAAACAAATACAAATACCCTTTTCTATCTTCACTTTCAGTGTCTTGGTTAATGGGTACAAGACAGGGCCTAATAAACATAAAAGACCACGTTATACCGATCAAAAAGAACAAACCCAGTAATAATTTAATGAAGCATTTAAGCTAGCACAAAGCTAAACTACATAGAATTAATAAAATGCAAATAATCCAGGAGAGAGTAATGAGTCAAGGGAACAAGTCAAACCGCCAATGAGTAATGTACTAAAAATGCAATATTTTCATTAGTTCCTTCCTCACAAAAGCTTAATTAAGGACTTCACAAGGACTACTTATTTTCAAAGCGAAGAAATTCCATTTCCTCAAACCTAAAACAGCAAACAAAATTAACAAAAACCAAGACCATTACTAGTAAAGCAAAGCAATTTCAACTAACCCAGATCATAAAACTCCCAAATCAAGCTAAAATAAACAAAACCCACCAAAGAAATCAAGAAACCAGCATGGAATACTCACAGAGAAGCAACAAAATCACATCCAGAAGTAACATCCCAAGGCCACCACTGAAACTGAGAGACACCCCTTCACTCATCCCTCCACCTTCCACAAACAAAAGTCCCCAGAAAAGCAGGAAAACCAAATAATGGTCAACAAGTTATGGAGCTGGGAAACCGGTTATAATGTGGGATAAAGGGAAGAAAGACATGGAGAAAATTGAACAGAGAAGCCATGAATGAGCTTCAAAGTGTGTGGGGACTAAAAGCAGTCGCAGTAATAGCTGTCCTGAGGAGAGTGGGAGAAGGGTAGACCCCACAGTCAGATACAATAGCACTACAGCATTAACGCCATCAATTGCCTTTCTTTCTCTTTCTCCCCACCACTGCTTACGGGACACACTACGCTCTGTTTGGATTCGAAGAAAACGTTAAGAGGACGGAGTTTCCTACACGTGTACATGTCTCCGGCGTGCAATGCGGCACGTGCGAGTCGGTTGCCTGGATTTACTAATATTTTTTGGTTCCTTGGGCTTTGAACATTTATATATTCCTTTTTGACTTTTGGGTCTAAGAAAAAGCTGATACAGCTTAGACTGGGCCAAAGAAGAGAATCCCATTAGGCCCAAATAGAAAACCAGGGCTCAGTTTAGATCCAACAGAGAAAATAGGACAAAATACCATATGATCCCTCAACGTTTCACTTTGGTCCAAAATTATCTCCCAACTTTAAAAAATATCAAAATTATCTTTAAACTTTCATTTTCAATATCTTTCTATCAGTTAAATGGAGGCACGTGACATGTTAAATTGTCAGAATATCAATCTTTATATATTTTTTAAAATGATGCGTAAACTAAAACATTTTTTTATTTATAATTTCACATTTTTACTATTATTTCACAATTTGTCTACCTAAAGAAAACAAAAAAACTTCATCTTCTTCCTCCTTTCCTCTCTCAATCCTTCGACAATTTGTCTCCTCATTTATTTATCAACGTTCCTTTTTCCTTTCCCTATTGATCCCTCTTCTTTCTTCTTCTTATTCTTTCTTTTTCTTCATCCTTCTTTTTCCTCTCTTCCTTCCTTACCAATTTGTTAGGTTCTCAACTCAAATCTGGGTTTTCTCGAAACCCAGATCTAGTTCCTAAAATAGGGCAAGAGAAATTGGAAATCGATTGTTTAAGAGAGGATCCATGAATAGATGTGGAATCGGATCTCAATAGCTTGTTCAAGAGAGGAAGACTTGATCTGATGTGCCCTGCCATCGCCATTTCTCCTTCTTCTTCGGATGATTCTATGGAACAATGGAAAAAAAAAAAAAAAAAAAAAA